GTTTTTACGTGGCGGGTCCCAAGCCCAGCGCACAACCCATTGCTGGGAGTGTACTTACTATTTATTATACTTACTTTANCTTGCTTCTTCACTGGAAGTGGTTTTTACGTGGCGGGTCCCAAGCCCAGCGCACAACCCATTGCTGGGAGTGTACTTACTATTTATTATACTTACTTTATAAAATACTTATGCACAAAAAGTGTACTTTATAAATTGAAATTACAAATGTTTGATTTTATGAAAAATAAAAACATATATACATGTATTCCAAGTCCTTAGGATGGGTTAAATTATGTCTTTTTCTTGAAAATTATGAGATATATACGTAAAAAAAGAAAACTGGATACATTTGGATACTTTTTTGGCTTGGTCAGTGATACATTTTCTTGAGACGGCGCGGCAACACTGACTACGTAGTTGGAGTTGGACTGATGAGGGTTATTTTTTTGAAGCGCGGCCGAAGGCCGCTTACGCAGAAAGCAGTTCTGCTCAAAAATACTGTGGCGCCTGATCTAGTTTAGCCTAGTCAAAACTAGTTTTTCCGGTAACATATACATCTTTGGTTTCGGTAGTGGTAAAATTGACGAAGATGCAACGCATAGCCCAGCAAAAAATTTCGAAGGGCTAGACAGAGACGAACACATTGTGTTTGTGTCAGTGGGTGAATTTGGTGGAGGGACTTGGGAACCACTTGGGGTACGGGGGGCCCAGTTGGTAACCAGTTTAGTCCCAGTTAGTAACCAGTTTAGTCCCAGTTGGTAACTAGTCTTTGGGGACCAGTTGGTTACTAGCTGTGAAATAGTTTGGGGCTAGTCCGAAACTTATCACTTTCGTACCATTTTGGGTCCAGTTGGTTGATTTGAGCTCCAGTGGCCGTTTTGGGACGTTTGAAAGCCTTTTAAGGTGTTTCAATGTGTTTTTGGACGTGGACGTTGAGAGTGTCGCATTAATATGTATAAGCACCAATCTATTAATACCGTTGAATTATTTTAATATATGTATCTATTGCAAAATTTTATACAGACAAGACTACAAAGTAGAAAATAAATAAAACAAAAAAAAACTTTTTAATATACCACACTTTTATAAATGGACTAAAAAGTAGAAATTAATATTTCTCATTCCCATAGAATTTGTTTTGATAACTTTTGATTTTGAAATTTTAGCAAAAAGTCATTATAATTTATGAGATTGAAAATGAAACTTTTTTGACTTTTTCGAAAAATTTGTTTTTCCGGCTTAACATTGCAGAGCTTTCTTTTTCCTTTTTTTTTGGAACTCTAGAAGCATTGAAATGCTACTCAGAACAGTTTTAATTTTTTTTTTCAAGAATGTAACTTTTGATTTTGAGATTTTAGCAAAAGTCATTACTTTCTCGAAAAAAATATTTTTTCGGCGTAATTTTGCAGAACTTCCTTTTTTCTTTTCAGGAACTCTAGAACTATTGAAAAGCTACTCAGAACATTTTTAATTTTTTCTTTCAAACATGTAACATTCGAAAAAATTTCTTTTCTGCGTAATTTTGCAGAACTTTCTTTTTCCTTCCAAGGAACTCTAGAACTTTTAAAAAGCAATTCATAACAGACCTAAATTTAATTTTTTTTAAATTGAACTTTTTCGACTTTTTCAAAAAAAAAGTTTTTTTTCGGCGTGATTTTGCAGAACTTCTTGTTTCCTTCTCAGAAACTCTAGAGTTTTTGAAAAGCTTCGCAGAACAGTTTAATTTTTTTCAAAATTTTATTTTATGGCTTTTTCAAAAAAAAAAATATTTCGGCGTAACTTTGTATAACTACCTTTTTCCTCCTCAGGAACTGTAGAACTATTGAAAAGCTACTCAGAACTCTTTTAATTTTTATTTGTTTCAAACATTAAACTTTTTCGGCCAGTGTGAAAAAAAAAATTTTCTTCGGCGTAATTTTGCAGAACTTTCTTTTGCCTTTTCAGGAGCTCTAGAACTTTTGAAAAGCTACTCAGAACAGTTTTAAATTTAAAGTTTTTAAAAAATTTTGCTTTTTGAACTTTTTTGAAAAAAATGTTTTTCGACGTAATTTTGCAGAACTTTCTTTTTCCTTCTCATGAACTCTAGAATTTTTGAAAAGCTACTCAGATCAGTTTTACTTTTTTTAATTCTGAATTTTTTCGATTTTTTAAAAAAAAATTGTTTTTCGGCGTGATTTTACAGAACTTTCTTTTTCCTTCTCATGAGCTCTAGAACTTTTGAAAAGCGACTCAAAACAGTTTAAATTTTTTTTAAATATAACTTTTTTGACTTTTTCGAAAAAATGTTTTGTCGGCGTTATTTTGCAGAACTTTCTTTTTCCTTCTCAGGAACTCTAGAACTTTTGAAAAGCTTCTCAGAACAGTTTTAATTAGTTTTTTTTCAAAATTTAACTTTTTTGACTTTTTCGAAAAGTATCTCGGCGTAACTTTGCAGAACTACCTTTTTTCCTTCTCAGGAACTCTAGAACTTTTGGAAAACTACTGAGAGCAGTATAATTTTATTTTTATTTTTCAAAATTTAACTTATTTTACTTTTTCGAAAAAAATGTTTTTCAGCGTAATTTTGGAGAACTTTGTTTTTCCTTTTCAGGAACTCTAGAACTTTTGAATGGCTACTCAGAACAGTTAAAATTTAAATTTTTTTAAATTTAACTTCTTCGACTTTTTCGAAAAATTTTTTTTTTCGGCGTAATTTTGCTGAACTTCCCTTGTGCTTCTCAGGAACTGTCGAACTTTTGAACAGCTACTCAGAACAGATTTAATTTATATTTTTTCAAAAATTTAAATTTTTCGACTTTTTCCAAAAACTTTTTTTTCGCCGTAATTTTTCAGAACTTTTTGTTTCCCCTTTGTGAATCTGGCATACACAATTTTTGAAACAATTTTTTTTTGTCAAAATATCCAGAACTTTTTCTTTCTTTTTAAAGAACTCTAGAACTATTGGAAGGCTACTCAAAACAACTTTTTTTGTCGTTTTGCGTCATACCGTATGCCAACTTCCCAGACATCTTATTTGATGAAAAATTTTCAAATGAAAGAAAGTAAAAAATGGTTTCAGCCATGATACAAAAATTTGAAGGTAAAACCGCTGAGAGGCAGCCTGAACATATTTGAAGTTTGCTAACATAACAAAAATGTTTTCAAATTTTCAATCTCACAAATATATTCTCACTTTCTGTCTCAAATAAAAGAAAATTTGAATATTTTCATCTATTTGNTACAACACAAAAATACAGTTAAGGCGCAGCGAAGCACGCCGGGTAATTGCTAGNTAACATAACAAAAATGTTTTCAAATTTTCAATCTCACAAATATATTCTCACTTTCTGTCTCAAATAAAAGAAAATTTGAATATTTTCATCTATTTGCTTTTCGTTTTCTTTTGTTTGGCATTTGAGTTGCTGTGAAAATTTCAATTTTATAAAGTAGACAAGCTTCAAAAAATATATTATGGCCGACGACTTGAGCGAGCGGTTTTACCTTTAAATATTTGTATCATGGTTTCAGCTTTAGGAAAGACGATTACTTTGAAGGAAAAAAGTTTATTTTTTTTTAAAGGGAGTAAAGAAAAAGTATTAAGTAATTATGAAGATCACTTTATAAATAAAAGGAGTTTAGCATTTTTTGATCGGTTTTCAATAAAAAAAAGTTTATTTATACAAACCTTAACTGTTGGGCAATAAATGGAAGTTATATAACAGTTGTTAATAGGATAAAGCATTTAAAAGTGGTAAATGACACGGCAGAGAGAGGAGTTAAACTTGTAGAAGAGTACAATAGGATTTTGTCCAAAACTGAGGAGGATAAACAACACATATTACAAGTTGTTAAATACTATTGTAATAAAATGATCATTGATTGTGAATTCACCCATTCGACTTTATTGTGTACATCTGTGAACTCACCCATTCGACTTTATTGCGTACCTTTGTGAACTCACCCATTTTCTCGCTCCTACTTCTTCAGTCCTTTTATTACTTTAACTTCATTTCGATTTGCGATTGCCATCACTAGAATTTTGTCATTTGCTGAAGAAGGAGGGCGAGAAAACTGCGGTGAGTAAACTTTTATAAATGTAATTTGTGATTTATTAACCACATATATGTAAGTATTCGCCTTTTAGAAATAAATATCTCCATTTTTGTATCCATCACATTTCTGTGCTAAACCGTAAACGTCGCCTTTTCATTTTACGGAAGATTAAATTCGGGAGCCCTCGGCAAATGACAATTTTATTTCGCAATCTTATAATTCCGCGAATTTGCCGCCATTTTGTAATTGCCGTTTTTTGTGCCAAAGCCTAAAGAGACTGTCGAAGCGCGCCATTTTGCGCCTTTTCGTTTTTGTTCAGCGATTAAAGGATCTGTTTCAAAGTGAGGCGAATGGGCACTCCACCACGCCGGAGTCCCAGAAATATGCCAAACACGAGTGCACCAGGAAACGAAGTTGCCGCCTCGTCGACGGAAACTAAATCTACTCCTTCCAACGCATCTGCAACCGCCGCAAAGTCATCGGGTACCACCACAATAGCCATGAGCAGCTCTTCTGCCTCTGTCGCTGCCCCGTCGCAACACCAGTCATCAACCCCACAGGTAAGCCTTGTACATACTTTGCATATGCCCTCTGCCACCACCACGAAAACACCACGCATAGAGTTGCTGAACAATCCTGCACAGCCCAATTCCGTGCAACAAAATTTGCCTGCTCAGCAAACACGTAAAGCTCACGTGGAATCAAATGCTTGTTCCACAAACGGTAGTAGCGTCGCCGGTAGATCAATTGCCCTTTCCACAGTGCCACCTGCCGAAGTTAGCGGCGCCAATCCAGGATCAGCTTCTCCAACAGTACAGTCGCATTCGGTAGAAAGCATTCTTATTTGTATGCAGAACCAAATAGAAGTTTTACAGCGCCAACTTAAAGAAGCAGAAGTTAGGTTAGCAAAATCAGAGTTGGGAAAAGATAGGAAATTAACAGCTAGGCAAAATAACGTTTTTTCGGCTGCTCCAGTTACACAGACCATCGAAAGTTGCGCCAGGCCAACAACAACAATTTCGAGCCAAGTGAATACCGTTGCGCATATACAGCAACATGATAGCAACATGTCGCCTAACGCCTTGCAACAAAATATGTTTACGGAACCAGTGTACACGCATCCAACGACATTTGCTCCAAGTTTAAATAATCGCGCGTCACCTTATGCCAGTTCGCCAACTCCTAATTCGGTAGATTCTGCTATACAACTGCAAAGAGCAGCAAATAATCAAATAAACGTTTTTGGTTCTACAATCGCACATAGAAAACTGATTGATCTTCCGGAGTTTTCTGGTCAGCCGGAAGACTGGCCAATATTTTACACAGCTTACGTCGAGTCGACTGCCGCCTATGGTAATTCACATTTTGAAAATAACGAGCGTTTATATATATCCAAACATTCAACATTTTAGTGACTGGCTTTCAGAAATCGCCGCCTTAATTTCTGTTGCGCTAGATAATGAGCCACGAGAACCTCGACGTCGACCAGTTTTCCATGTCGCTGAAATTCAACGTCACAAGTACCCTTAAGTGTTCAGTATGTAGCGCAAAGCATAAAACATTTGAGTGCAAGCGATTTTTAGATGCGAGCTTAGCAGATCGTTGGTCTATGGTCAGACGACATCGACTTTGTTTTAGTTGTTTGAACTATGGTCACTCTACCCGAGATTGTCACAAACGAAAACCGTGCGCGATAAATGGTTGCGGAGGGAAGCATAATAAACTTTTACACGAACAGCAGAATATGAGCACGAGCGAAACAGGTAGCCTCACAACAAATTGTACAACCCAGACTTCCAATTCATCAAATGAGGCAGTTCTAAGTTGCAAAGCCAACAATAATCCCAGAAATAAATTACTTTTTCGTGTAGTGGCTGTGACCCTCCATGGGCCAGCTATAAGTATAGATGTATACGCATTATTAGATGAAGTTGGTGACAATGGTCGACAGAGACGTGTTGGAGGAGTTGGGTGTCAGTGGTCAACGAAAGCAGCTTGACATACAATGGTTCGGGGGTAAACCGATTCAGGAGCCCACAGTTTTGGTTGATCTCTACGTAAACGGACGTGGATTAAGAAAGAGGCATAAGCTACGCAACATTCACGGAGTAAACAATCTTAACCTACCTACGCAAACTTTGTCAGAAAAAGACTTGCAGAGCTTGAAGCTTGATAGCAAGTTCACCCCGTCGTTTTACTCCGATATTAAACCGAAGCTTCTTATAGGTTTAGATCACTGTCATCTCGGGTTACCTACTGAGACCATGGGCATTAGAGGGAACGGCCCATACGCAGCAAATACTGAGCTTGGTTGGGTAATTTTCGGACAGATTAATACAGGATCTAATTCAAATGCTACATGTTTGATGCTACATGCGCCAGGGGAGTTGGAGCTTCACGATATTGTTTCTGACTATTTTCAAACAGAAAACTTTGGAGTGAAAGCGGTGCCGCCAATACTTAGCTGAGGACATACGTGCGAAGGAAATTTTGGAAGCTACCACTTTGCAGATCAACGGGAAATTTCAAGCAGGTTTGCTATGGAGATCAGACGATACTGTGCTGCCTGAAAGTTATGCAATGGCTCTTAAGCGGTTAATTGGTATTGAGCGAAAAATGAAACCTAATAAGGAGTTCGCCACAGCGTATAGTGCAATCATTGACGGTTATGTTAAAAAGGGCTACGCTCGCAAGCTGCTTGCTGACGAAATCACCACGTACAATCCAAGGATTTGGTACCTACCACACTTCGTGGTCGTCAACCCAAACAAACCGGCGAAATTGCGTCTCGTCTTTGATGCAGCAGCTTTTTCGAATGGAACATCACTTAACTCGCACCTTCTAAAAGGACCGCAGGATTACCGTCCGCTTGCTGCAATACTGTTCCATTTTCGAGAGGGTCCTGTGGCGGTCTGCGGTGATATAGTGGAAATGTTCCAACAGGTAGTGGTTCAGCCCAACGATCGATATGCTCAGCGATTCCTATGACGAGGAGGAGACGATACAAAGCCGCCTGACGTTTACGAGATGGTAGCGATGACATTTGGAGCAGCCTGCTCACCATGTGTAGCGCAGCATGTGAAGACGGTGAGCGCCTTGAAACACCGCCAAGCCGATAACTTACGAGCAGTTAAAGCCATACTTGAGTACCACTATGTGGACGATTTCGTTGACAGTTTTGAGTCCGTTGCTGAAGCTATCAACGTCACTAAGCAGGTGTGTGATATCCATAAACACGCTGGATTCATATTACGTCATTTCGCATCTAACTCGCCCGATGTATCGAAATCATTAGGAGGTGAAAAATTCGCATTGGATATCAAAAGTAAAGAAACCTTTGCGTCTGAAAAGGTTTTAGGGATGTACTGGCGACCTAGCAGTGACGATTTTAATTTCAAGGTAAAGTTTAATTATACCGATAAGACTGTCTTGGATGGCTCAAGATGCCCAACAAAAAGGGAGCTTCTTAGCATAGTCATGTCTATACTCGATCCCATAGGGGTTTTGTGCCACTTCACGATCAGTGCCAAGTTACTATTAAAGGAAGTTTGGAGACATAAAATCAGATGAGATGAAGTCATCCCGGTTGAAGTCAACTCAGCATGGGAGAGGTTCCGACAGCAAATCCCCAACGTAGAACAATGTAGAATTCCGCGCCATTATTTTGATAGTAAACCTGTGAAGCNAATGCAGAATTCCGCGCCATTATTTTGATAGTAAACCTGTGAAGCAATTACAACTGCACGTATTTATGGATGCAAGCGAGGACGCATTCGCAGCGGTAGCTTACTAGAGATACGTTACTGCTTGTGACATGATAAGAGTAACATTTGTATGCGCTAAAACTAGAACTGCTCCATTAAAGCCGCTAATAATTCCGCCCCTTGAACTACAAGCAGCTGTTCTAGGAATAAGGCTGATGAAAACGATTTTCAATGAACATTCCTTTAAAATTAACGACTGTTTCCTATGGAGCGATTCAAGCACCGTTTTAAATTGTATAAATGCGAGAATCGCCGATACAAGCCCTTCGTCGCTCATAGGATTGCGGAGATTCTTGATGGATCAAAACCAAGCAACTGGAGATGGGTGCCTACGTCCACCAATGTTGCCGACGAAGCTACGCGCTCCAAGTGTCCAATAGACATTTCGCCGACATCGCGCTGGTTCAGTGGGCCGACATTCCTAAAAGGCTTACAAGGGCATTGGCCTGACGCTGACGCCGTTGGGAAAACAGTAGCAAAGGGAGCCGATGACGAGGAGATTAAGCCGAAATTTGTATTGATAGCCGCGCGTAATGCGTTAATTGATTTTAGTCGTTTTTCATCTTTTAATAAACTTGGACGTACAATCGCCTGGATTCTCAGATTTATTTCACGATGCAGAATGCAGAAAACAGACCAGCAAGCGTATGGGTTAATAGCAGAGGAAATCGAGAAGGCGCAGATAACATTGTGTCGTTTGGTCCAAAAGGAAATTTATGCCGCCGAGTTAAAAAGTATTGCTGAAAAACAAACAATCACGCGGGACAGCGAGTTATATCAACTCTGTCCTTATGCTGACGAAGATGGGGTGCTGAGAGTCTACGGAAGCACAATGGTTCCTGCTAGTGTAAGAGCGTAGATAAATTCAAAATTTGACGTGTTTGACATATACTGTTTTTTGTGTTTTTTTAATAAAAATGTGTCCAAATTTACATATTTTTCTACATTTATCAATAGGTTTTATTTTTCTTTAGGAAATATCTTTGCATAAAGTTACTATATATGTATTATAATCAAAAAAGTTGAGTTATAACACCTAAAAGTTTGAAGTTGTATNATATATGTATAATCAAAAAAGTTGAGTTATAACACCTAAAAGTTTGAAGTTGTACAACTATAAGAGTATAAAAGTCATACATACGTATGATACCTCTATAAAAAGATAATTTTATTGCAAATACCACAGTGTTCATTTTTTATTAAAGTTGTTTAAAAAAAAAAAAAATCCAACTAATTTTTCGATCAATCTTAAAATTTGAAGAATTTGATTTTAAAGTGGAACTACAGTTTTGCCGCCACTCCCCGCCACTTAGATATTAGCACAGGTAAATTGCTATGTATCTCACTTATCCGTCCTAAAAATTTTAGCTGCTAATACCTGCTAGCCTGCAAAATATTTACAAAATACTTTAACCACTATATTTTGGAATATGAATTTTTTTGAGTTTTTCCAATAAAATTAAACAAAATTAGTTTTTTATATTTTTGTTAAAATGTCAAATATTATCATAAAGAATTATTGTGTAAATAATATTAAAAAAAAAAAAATGCCTTTGGTGGGATTCGAACCCGCAACTGCTTTTTGAATCACCAGAGTCTTATTTGCTAAGCCATCATGCATGTAATAAAGTATATGCTTTATATTTGTGCTATGTGGTTATTGATCTATTGTTCCTTATGTTGTAGGTGCGAATGCACTTAAAGCGAGTTATTTTGATCAGTTTTTGTTGTTAGTCAAAATGAGAGTATGTCAGAGAAGATTACACCGCCAATGTGGTTGTTGTTGTTTCGTAATGGCAGCTGCGCATTATTCTATTTTTCGGAGATTTACTTTCCTATTACGCGCTCTGAAGCCGATGACTTCAATGTTTATTTTTAGAACAATGTTATATTTGTTGCAAAAAATAACAGAACTGCAACTAAATTCTTCATAGTCACATTTTATCTGTATGAAACGTTTCTTGTGAGTTGTATAATTTGAAATATTGGTGTAACAAGAGTTATTAATAATGGAAGAATTTAAGTGTAAAAAAAAAAAGATTTAATTTTGTCTTACATAAATAACAATACAAGTGATTCTGCAATAAGAATTTACATAGAGGGTAAATTTAATATATGCGAAAAAAATGTTTCAATACACGTTGGAATAAGTGCAATCGAAATAAAACGTTTTTCCTAAAAAGATATGAGGATTGGATGAATGAGGAATTTTGCGTAGAAGTCCCTGATTCTCAGGCATGTTCTTCGTCTTCAGTGAAAAGAGGGCGACCATCTACATCTTTCGAAGAAGCTTCAAATCTGACGAAGAAAAAGAAAAACACGGCTTTGATTAAATAAAAACAGGTCTTGATCACTTGCGCAGTGCATATATTAAGATCGACTAGCAGAGAAAAAAAGGACAAATTATTAAAATGCTCAATGAGGAAGAATGTTCCATTCCTTTCGACAATGATGAAGCTTTGAGTGTTTATATTGAAATGCAGTTTACGAAATCTCAATACATATTATTGAGAAATATATTAAGAAAAAGACACTGTTTAATATTGTCAACATACAAAAAAATATTGGAAAAATGTGTGTCCGAACGCATGTTTGTTTAATCCTTTTATCAATACAGCGGCTAAAACTATTTTTTTTAAAACGCAGTA